AAAAAAACAAAAACGCCACTCAAGAGCCACCAACGGCCACCAGGCCGGATCAGACCTCCAGTTTAAAGGTTCAAGGCCTCTGAGCATTCTGAGCTGTCGTGGCACCTGTGTAGAACCGGTGACTGCCCATCATTGGGGTCCTTCAGGCAGGACCTGAAGGAAGTGAAGAAAGCCCCTGCCCCAGCACCACCCCCCTCTCCCAAGGGGAAGAAAGGGGGGAAAACCACACCCCAAGGTCCAACCGATCTGCCTGGGAGTTCTCCCTTCCTGTTGCAACTCTTCGGACTCATGTCTTTTTGCAGCGGAGCAAGAGAGACCGCAGCCCCCTCGGAGTTCCAGAAAAGCCAAGCTGCGGATGGCTACGGAGGCAGCGATGGCCGGGAGCCACTGAGCCGCGCCTTCACCAGGCGCAGTCCCACAATGTGGTTCACAGAAAAATGGCAAAATGAACAGATCCACAGCTTGCAGCAGCTAGACTTCTAACATCTACGCATCCAAGCATTTACTTATTATTATTATTTTTTTACCACCGCCGCCACCGGAGCCCAGGGAGGGTGGTCTTTTGGGCATCTGTTAGGGTCTCTTTGGTTCAATGGCTGCAGAACTGGAGATGTGAAGACCGAGATGGGATCAGAGCTGGAATGGAGCATTTGAGCCCGGGTGGGGTGGGGGCACGGGATCTAGGGGCACCCTGGTGTGCTGGGTGCCACGATTCACTGTTTGTCGAGCCAGTTCTTGCCTGGCTGCCGTCCCAGGAATCGCTGCTTCTCCAACGCTTGCACCAGAGAGGTGGTCTGACCTGTGGTGGTGACAGCCCTTTGGCGCCTGACCTCTGGAGATGGTGGCAGCTTCTGGGACGGCTTTTCTGGAGCCAACCCGGAGCGCCATCGGCTCCTCTCGAGCTGTCGGCTTCTGCGGTTTGTGAACCACAGGAGGATTCTGTCCTCGGCCATGTCAGTGACTCTGGAAGGTCTTCTCTCGCCGTGATGCCTGGACAGGGGGTCGCAAGCAAATGAAGCTTGTAGATGTCTAATTGAGAAGGGGTCTGGACGATCCTCTTTCTTCGGTCTTGGGTTCGCCGAGAACCAGCAGAAGCGTCTTTCGAGGCCAGGCTGCGGATGGAGGAGCAGGTCCGAGGGAGACGAGAGGACCATTTGAGCCAGAAAGCTTGGCGACCCTGAAGCCTCTCTAATTTTTAAAGGCCATATTAAAGCTTCGGCTTCCTTTTAAATACATTAGACTGCGATCTGCATGGTCAGCAGTTCGAAACCACCAGCAGCTCCTCGGGAGAATGACTGGGCCTTCGACGCCCGGAAACAGGTCTAGTCTCAAAAACCCAGTGGGGTCACAGTGAGCCGGCGTTGACTCGATGCCAGTGAGGTTTTGGGCTGTTTTTTTTAACGGTCTTTCCAAGTGTAGGCTAAGAACGGCTGCATCGACAT